GGACTTCCAGTCGGCAGAGGAAAAAGGATGCCGTGCTAGGAGGAGACTCTATGGTGGGGAAACTGGACTTCCAGTCAGCTGCAGAATTGAACGGGGGGCTTCCGGTTAGGACCTTTGTGGCTCTTTGAGTGTTTAAGGTTACCGACCCCGGCTCAGGGAAACGGCTTCCACTCGCCACCACAGCTGCAGAATTCCTTTCCCGTGGGTAAATTGAGGGATTAATGGAAAGATACGCAGATACTTGAGGCAGTTGGGAACAATTCTTAAGAGGGTGGGGATTATGGGAGGTCGCTTTGCGCGCTGCGCTATGGGAGGGGGGGCATGTTTTTAGCGAGGGTTTTCAGCACGTGACTTTCCCTGAACTAAGAGGAGGGCGGGGACCGCGACTCCTACAGTGTTGGGCAGGAGTGAAATTGGGGTGGGGGGAGTGGGGGAGTGAGAGTCTCTGCCTTCTATTGCTTCTGCATCTGCCCTCGGCTGCCTGGGAGCTTTGGTGGCTAAAGATTTTCTGCTTCAGAGTCCTGGAGTCCACCGAGATCCTGTCGACGGACACCGACAGCAGCTCCGCCGAAGACAGCGACTTCGAGGAAATGGGGAAGAACATCGAGAACATGCTCCAGAACAAGAAGACCAGCTCCCAGTTGTCCCGGGAGAGGGAGGAGCAGGAACGGAAGGAGCTGCAGCGCATGTTGATGGGGGAAGACGGCGACAAGGACCGGTCCAAGAAGGACCGGAGGGACAAGAAAGGGGCGGGTGAGGATTTGGCCCACGCGGGGCGGGAGGAAGGCCTCAAGAGGAGACTCGGCGGGGGGGAGGTGTCTCTCGTGCCAAATGCTAAGGAAGGGGCTTCCTGGCTCAGGCCAAGGGATTGTCTGCAGGAAGCCCGCCGGGTGTAGGGCAGTGTTTCTCAACTTTGGCGATTTTGTGGACTTCAATTCCCAAAATTGGCTGGAGGATTCTGGGAGTTGAAGTCCACAGGACTTAAAGTCGCCAAGGTTGAGAAACACTGCCCTAGAGGCAAGAGTGCTTGCAAAACACAGGCAGAGAGGCTTTAGAAACGGTTGTAGTTGTGGCCATCGATGGGAGGACTTCGCCAGCAATAAGAGGGGATGCCGTCCCATTGGGGGTGGGGGTGAGGGCATTGCCTTTGGGCTGATGTCCCTCGCCTGGGTTAAATGACATACTGGCCACTCGGGGTCCCTTGCCGTTCGCCCTTCTGCGCTAGGAGGGTGGCGAAGTCACCCTTTCGACTCCTCTCCCCCCGGCAGTTCCCACTCCTGGCAACATGGGGGGTTGTCATAAAGACGACGACACGGCCTCCGTGACCAGCCTCAACTCCTCGGCCACTGGGCGCCGCTTGAAAATCTATCGCACTTTCCGTGACGAGGACGGGAAGGAGTACGTGAGGTGTGAGACGGTGCGTAAAGCCTCAGTCATCGACGCCTACAGCCGGATCAGGACCACCAAAGATGACGAGTTCATGTAAGGTCCTCGGGAGGGGCTGGGCCTTTCAGGGGAGCCTGCTGTCAAGTTTCCTAACGATGCCGTAATTGATTCATAATAANGTTACCTAGTTTGGCAATGCAACGTCTGCAACAAAACCACCAAGCTCATTGCGATTTTGCAGATTCACTCGCTGCGTGGAGTAAGTAGTGAGTGTGAAATTATAACGTGCGGAAGGAAGGGCTGAGTTCCAAGTAAAGCTGAATCCTTGCGGTGTAGCAAAGGAGCAAAGTCGGGTCGGGAAATTAGAGCAGCCGTTTCCCGGGCTCTTGCGAAGTCTGCAGCCCCCGTTGATAGTCTCGCTTCCCGTCTTGTTTCAGCGGCCCCACAAGTCCATCCACCGGCGACGCACAGACCCCATGGTGACCTTGTCTTCCGTCCTGGAAAGCATCATCAACGAGATGCGGGATCTCCCCAACGTAGGTGCTGGGATTGTGGGAGGCAGATTCTGCTCTGAGCGAGAGAGTTGCATGAAGCTGAATCTCCTTGTCTTGGGCCGCCGGGATCTCTCTGAAATAGGGTGGCTTAAATCGTTAAGAGATTAAAATAAGCCTAAAGCGCACAAAAAACAACGTGCCAAATTTCTTACCGAATATTTAAATTCTAATTCAACAGCCTATAAAAAGTTTAAACTGTTAAGAAGGTACGTCGGAATAGATGAGGGTCTTAACTGTGGTTATTAGTGTGGTCAAGCTGGGTCTCCTGGTATCCCGTGGGGCTTGGCTGGTGGCTTGGAAGAGCGCAGGGCCTGTTGGGGGAAAGGTACGATGTTTGGCAGGCCCAGAACAAACGCTCATCTTTTCCTGTTTCCTTCCCCCCCCCACCCCCAGACGTACCCCTTTCACCAGCCTGTGAATGGGAAGGTGGTGAAAGATTACTATAAGATCATTACCAAGCCGATGGACCTGCAGACCCTCCGCGAGAACGTCCGCAAGAGACTTTACCCATCTCGCGAAGAGTTTCGGGAACACCTGGAGCTGATTGTGAAGAACAGCGCTACCTACAACGGTTTCTGCCCCCTTTTTTCCCCCCTTAACCTTTACTTACTGGTCCAAGGCAAGGAAGGGTCTGGGGGCAGCAGCTTGGCGTTTTTTCTGTGATTCTGAGCAGGTGGAGAATGGCAGCGAAACGGGGATTTGAGAATTAACTCACCTGGGTGTCAGATACCAAAAGCTTCCTTTCCGGAAATTGCTGTTTCTTGGCCTTTAAATCTGCTGAAGCTTTTCTCTCATCCTCTCTCTTCCCTGGTGTGATTTTGCCATCAGGGATGTTGAAATCCTTCCCTTCCTTTTCCTGGAGCAATTTTGGGGTAGCCACCTGGTAGCCTTGAACTGGCAGTTCCCAAATTAAAGCAGATTAGGTGGCTGAAACAAGAACTGCTCGGTTGTTCATTGACTCTGCTCTTCCGGAAGCTCTGTGGGGGAGGGGGATTGGGCTTAATCTCTGTGACCCCCACATGGGAAGAAGCATCCATGCTCTCAGCTCTTGAGCCTCAGAGCCATCAATATTTCTTGCTATCAGTGGAGTAGGAATATCTGTTTTTTTATTATAGTTTTCTTTCCGGTTCAATAAGACACTCACAAAGGAAGGCTTGCTGTTTTAACTATTGATTTTTCAAATTTCCTATTGTTTCTACTTCTATGAATATGCTAAACATTATTGCTATCCATGACAATACTATAAACGTAACCAAAGTGAGGAGGGTGGGGGCACTGGAAGCTTGCCTCAGTCTTATCTCTGCTTTATATTTGCAGGGCCAAAGCACTCCTTGACCCAGATTTCTCAGTCAATGTTGGACCTCTGTGACCAGAAACTGAAAGAGGCAAGTCTCGTGTGAAGGGAGAAAGAATGAATCTCTGAGCTGAGGCTTTAATTAAGCTTCATAATGCTGTTACTAAAGAGCTGATAAGCTTCAAGGAAGGCACTTGTAGATCACAGAAGGCCTGGACACATTTGCTGCTTGCTGCTTCTAGGTCAAAGTGCCCACCTGGTGAAGTCTGGGCAAAGAGCTTAGCGTAGTGGGGGGATACCTGTTGGAGATCGGGGGGCACAGACATGGCACACGGAATGCTCCAACTTGATCTTGCTTGAAATCAGCAAATTTTAATGCCATGCATTTTTTTTTCCAATTTAAAAGTATTCCCACAATTAAAAAGGAAAAGTATACTGTGTGTCATTGAGACAGCGTTAAAAAAAAATTAGCTTTTGGGGGCATGGAAAAATCAGCCAAAATTTCTGGAAAAATTGAGGCTCCCGTAATGAATGGGAGGCTTCAGTGCTTGAAAAAACCTACCGGTTGAAAAGCTATAGTGGAATAAGAAAAATTGGAAGTCTTGATGGTAAAATGGCCCAGGGTACCTGCGAGACCACCTACTGCCACCNAAGTTCCCAAGTTTGTAGATGTAAATGGAGAAATTGCAGAGGAAGGGATTACAAGAGAGTAAATTATACTGGCTGGGGAATTCTGGGAGTTGAAGTCCACAAGTCTTAAAAGTTTCCAAGTTTGAAGACATCTGATCTAAATGGAGAGATTATAGAGGGAAGGGATTACAAGAGAGTAAGTTATGCTGGCTGGGGAATTCTGGGAGTTGAACTGCACCAGTCTTAAAGTTGCCAAGTTTGAAGACCTCTGATGTAAAATGGAGCGATTGCAGAGGAAGGGATTACAAGAGAGTAAGTTATGCTGGCTGGGGAATTCTGGGAGTTGAAGTGCACCAGTCTTAAAGTTCCCAAGTTGGAAGACCTCTGATGTAAGTGGAGAGATTGCAGAGGAAGGGATTACAAGAGAGTAAGTTATACTGGCTGGGGAATTCTGGGAGTTGAAGTCCACAAGTCTTAAAGTTCCCAAGTTTGGACACCTGGCCTGGGTTGTTGCGGTGACTCTTGGGGGGTGGTGGTGTTCCCTTCGGTCACATCCAACAAGCTTCCTCCTCAGGACGTAGCCTTTCCGCTAATGATGGGGGGGGGGAACGGGACCTTGGGGGGGGTCAAGGTTTGCATCTTACTTGGTCTGCCCTGCCTCCCTCCCTCCGTAGCCCTGACACGGGAGGGCCGCCTGTTCCTTTTCTTGCAGTTGAAGTGTGGGGCCTGTGGGGCCATTGGGCACATGAGGACCAACAAGTTCTGCCCTCTGTACTACCAAACCAACGCTCCCCCCTCCAACCCGGTGGCCATGACGGAGGAGCAGGAGGAGGAGCTGGAGAAGACCGTCATCCCCAACGACAACGAGGAGCTGATCAAAGTGGAGGGGACCAAGATCGTCTTGGGGAAGCAGCTGATTGAGAGGTGAGAGGGTTTTTTTGAGGGCGAAAGAGGGCGCCCAGCATCATGGCTGAAGGAGGCGGGATTTGCAGGGTCCGGGCTCCTGTTGGCTGCCAAGGATCACGGCACTCAGCGGAGGTGGGCGGGCTGAGTCCTCCCAAAGGGCGGAGCTGCAGTCCCTTTCACTCTCCACATCTCTTCACAGCGCTGACGAGGTTCGCAGGAAGTCCTTAGTCCTGAAGTTTCCCAAACAGCAGCTTCCCCCCAAAAAGAAGCGGCGGGTTGGGACAACGGTGCACTGTGACTACTTAAACGTAAGCCCTTCTGACTGCCTTCGATTTCTACCCGCCTTGACCTTACAGTATAGTATCTCCTAACTATGTAAATATTTAGGTTTGATTTACAGCATCCCCCCAAGAAATGCACATTGCATGAACAGAAGGAAATATTAGTTGCTCAGGGTTGAACTGTGGGGGTCCTTGGCGGTTTTTCTTGCAGACATTTCATTACCAAACTAGGTAATGTCATCAGTGAGTCCCTTGAATCCCCTGGGGATTTTGCAGCACGGATGTAGTTACCTAGTTTGGCAATGCAACGTCTGCAACAAAACCACCAAGCTCATTGCGATTTTGCAGATTCACTCGCTG